TAGTATCACCTTCTTTAGAAATAGTAGCTTAAATGCTCATGGCCTAGACATTGTATTTATTTAAAAAACTGTTTCCATGTTAGTTATTGGCTCAGGGGAAGAAAAAGATAACAGTTCCTGAAAATGTTTGTCTTTTATAAAGTGACACTCAACATTTTTTCTCACAAAGATAGCAAACAATAAGCAGAACCTTTGTTATGTCTACATACCGGTATACCCGAAAACCAATGTGTTACATCACTGTGGCCTTTCTAGTTTGAAGATTTATGAAATCTGTATTTAAAGGTTCTCCTTTTAAAAAAAAATCTCTAACGCCTCTCCCATCAGGATTTCAACTATTTTTTGACATCACTATTTACCAGCACTTCTGATGGGTGAACAAAGTCTGAGACCAAACATAGGTTTTCTACAACTTGGACATTAATTACAAAGAGAGGTAGCTGCCCTGTGCAGATTAGCTGCTTTGTCTCAACAGCTGGAATCATCTCGCTCCAAAAATGTCCCAATACTTTTTCATTTCCAATACGATACAGATATTGCATCTTAAAGTATCACAAAACTATCAAAGATCAAGTGGCATTACATTTTTTTTTATTAAGAATAATAGGCAAGTGAAATAGGTAAGAGAGCAACTGAACCATTTATTATTCACCAGTTGGTTACATAAATTTTAAACAGAAGTGGGATGTTTCTGTCCACATGCTAATATTGGAGATTTTAAATGCAGCCCGATGTAATCAGATATTAGTTTTTTGGTTGATATCGGACCTATACCCCATGCCAGCATCAGATCACAACTTCTCAGACTTGTTTGCGGTGCCTTCGCTGCAGGGTTAAAGTTGCTGCTTCCAGGAAAAAGCATTCTTACGTAGATATTCTCTGAACACTCTTTTTCATAGATCAGGTAAGGGCTGCTGCTCAGACCGAAGAACTCATAATGATTGATTCAATCAAGGGAAATGTCACTTTATGTATGATTTAAAGAAGGAACAGCATAGAAAAGTTAAAAGCTTGAAGTTGATTTTGTATTATAGGCCCTTCTAAAGAGTCAATCATGCAATTTGGATCATGTCTTGTTCTTTTCGTAGAGCAAACAGTCTTGGCAATGTAATGAACCGGTTTCTCCATATGATGTAACTTTAATGCTTTGACAGGACAAGTGGGGAAAAAAAGGAATTTAACTTGCATAATGCATTCTGTTAAATAGTTTCCTATTTATGGTGTTTTTGCATCAAAAACCCTTTCAGACGCCACAGTCTGTAAGCCACAGCTTCTAATAATGAAACGGATAATGGTTTGATTAGCTGAACCAATTTAATTGGTCGTGTAGAATCTCTGTTTAACATATAATAGAATATGACATTGGTTGGTATTATAAAAAGACTACTCTCTGAATTTTAGTCCAGGGACTGTGTGCGCTGGCTCACTGTCATAATTAACTGAAGTCCTGGAGTTTTGCTGTGCCATTGTTAAAGTTGTCAATAATGCCTATGTTTCTCTGTCTCTGAAAATACAAAGAAAATGGGAAAGGTTTGGAACCACTGGCACCTCCTTGTGTTCTTTGGCCATTGTTGTTCCATGCCGGTGTTCTGTCAGCTCAGCAAACCGCATCAGGCCAGCATACCCATAATAATACGCATTACATAGAGTGTCCTCTGTCTCCGCTCTCATTACAGCCAATTATGCCGTTTTATTTCCTGATTTAGTCCGTTTTTGTCGTAGTTTTGTGCATAAAACAACAAATAGGTCCACCACACACATTAGTTAAAAAAAAAAAAAAAAAACACTGCAAGTCTGTTTTACAAGGATCTTATTAAAAAATGATCTGCACTTTTTCACAGAGAATTAAATATTTATAGGGAGAGGATTCTACAATTCTGCGACAGGATATGCGATTTATATGTTTTTAGTTTGTTTAACATGAACGGCATGCACATTTTTACAGTACATGAAGAACCATTGAAATTATTTTCAGATGAGACTTAAATAAATTGATTAATTCCTTGGGGGAAAAAGGAATTACTTTAGGGTTAGGATTAGGATTCACTTGGTAATAACAGCCTACTGAGCCTCCTGGCACAATCTGAAGCCCTTCTATGTGACTGATAGCCGCTAATAACGATCATGCATGCATGCGTATTACTAAGGGTATGCTGGCCTGACATAGTATGCTGAACTGACAGAACGCCAGCTTCTTCTTCTTTAACACAAATTACACACCTAATCAGGCTGGTCTTGGGAACAGGGATTTCTATTTGGGCAATTAATTGCTTTTGCAATATAATCGCATTTTCTGATTTTTAATCACAATATGTTTACCATGTGAAGAAGGCACTAAATTTCTTCCCACAGCCCTTTAGGTGGTGGTAATATGTAAAAAAAAAAAAATTTTCGCCACACAGATAGGTAGAGAGAATTACAGCTAGCACATAGATCAATGCATGCATGTAGAAGTAAACCTTTTGTCATACAAAAAGGTTTACTTTGAGGCATCTACAGTCAGGCATCTGCAAGTTTGAGGTTAGTGCAAAGAAAAATCGAAATAAAATCGCTATTGGGTTAAAAATAACCGCAATTTCGATTTTTGTCAAAAATTTTCAGCCCTGATTTCTGTAGTTGGCTAAAACCTGTTGTCAGTAACTCTGAAAAAGGTAACATCATAGACGTCAGAGTATGTAACACTAGGTTTAGAGAAAATTTAGTCATATGCTGAGTCACCAAATTAATTTGGAAAAGTTTTATTTACATTGTTAAAGTTTTAAAGTAGGTTGAATATAAGCTTTGAGTAGATTTGGAACAACATTTTTCAAGTTATCTAGGTCTGTATTAAAGTTTAACGACAATGGTCTTAAAGTCTTCAAAAGTCTTAAAGCCATCAAGTATCTTTCTGGAAAAAATACCATATATGATAGTTTCTTGGTTGTACGTCTGTTTTCATCGAGGATACAGTAAAAATGAAAATCTGTTAGTCATGTGTGATGATCAATATAAAGTAGTGTCTCATCTGCATAGCTGGAAACCCATAACTTTTACAACCAGAAGTACAGGTTTTAACGGTCAGCTTTTCTTCTAGATCTGTCGTCTCCAGAGGCACCTTTCTGCAGGAGAGCACCAGCAGGACCTGTTCCAAGACCAGCCAGCCATGTTTGTGTCGCAGCGCTCTCAGCCACCCACTCAGAGTCTGGTGGAGCTGATCGAGCTGTGTGGAGGCACACCCTGCAAAACGGTTCGGCAAGCAGGTATCTGCATAGGGAAGTACAGCGGCAGGAGACCAGAGGGAAGCAGGATCCTGTCTGAGCAGTGGGTTCTTGGTAAGATGGACCCCACTGATATCTGTTACAAATACTAAATGACTGTATCATAGTACTGACATACTTCTCTTGTTTGGTTTGTTTCTTTTTCAGATTGTATAACTAATATGAAGATCCTGCCTTATGACAACTATCACTTGGAATGATGGTGACCATTTGTTTTAGGGTCATATTCAGTATTACTAATTCTACTAAGTAGGGATTGATTAGGCAGCAGGTACCCAGCAGAGCCATGCCTTTCTTCTCTGTGTGTTGTTGACTTATGATCTGTAAATGTCTGTTTTAAAATCAAATCCAGTATTTACATTCTTTCCAGAAACGTGCTTTTCATGGAAAACTTTGTGTTAGCATGATTATCCAATCAGTTGTCTGTGTTACTGTGAAAACTGCTTTTGCGAGTGTATGATGGTCCTTTACCTTTTACATGTGTTTACATTATGTACAAACCACTACAGAGGCTGTTTGGATATTAAATTGTCGTTTTTGAGAGAGTTGCTGAGCCAGTTATTTAGAAGGATTTTTAGAAGTCTCTTTTAATAAATACATATTTTAATAAATACCTCTTTTAAATGTGATAATCAGGCTTTTCATTTTCAAGCTTGTTTTTTGTTAAAGAACACACATCACGCTTTTTAATCCTTCTTTTTACTATATAAATCAGCTAGTTGTGTGTCTGTATCAAGTCGAACTGCAATTCTTTATTCTGAAATTATCATTGTTAAAGCGCCTCTTTTGTCCATTTTACTGATTTTCTGACATGCCTCTTTGAGCATCTTATTTTAGTTTGGTCTCTTAAAATATAAATGAAACTCCTCACACTCAATCCACCTCCAGATTGCATAGCATTCCCTTCCATACCTTTCATACACATATTTGTAGTTTGATAGGAAAGATGTATAATAATTTAGAGGCACAGACACTTTTTTTTCTCTCTAAAATTCTTTAAAAGATGTCAACAAAAGATTTTTCTATTTAGCCTTACATGTGTGAGGTAGAGTCTGACCCAAAATGAGAAAAACAATTTAAACGATGATAAATGTGTTTTCTTCTTTGAGGCTTCATCATGGAAAACAATAAACAATACTAACATTAGCTGTAATTTTATAAATGTTGCTTGCAGTATTTTAATACAAACTACATTTCAGATACCTTTTTAAGTGTAAAAGTTGCCATAATGTGAATAAACACACTTCAAAGGATGCTCAAGCCAGTTGAAATTGTTTTTCGTTATGTCTGGCTATATACATGGCTAATCTCATCAGCAAAAGCCACAATACTCTAACAAAAACAACAGCCAGAAGTTACATCAACATGTCTATGATAAAGCTTGATTATTTTAGCATTTTTTGCAGCCTATAACTTTGCTATGTCCGTTGTTACCGTACACGTCAGATGGACACGTACACGTCAGATGGACGAATTCTTTCGGCTTATCCTTTTTTATGCTTGCCGATGCGCAAAAAAAATTACTCTGTGCAGTGGCGTATTTTTTCCATGAAAAAGGAAATCAATGAGACACCTAAAATAAGTTCTGATGCTGAGGAATGGTGTAATGACTTAAGTGGATTAATACGCCTAACACCTGAACATTTAGATTTATCTACTTGTTGCTTCAGCGTCTCTTAACTTAGACTGCTAAAGTACTACAAAGAAAACTAAATGTCAGATTCGCTAGATTGTTAGCCAGTAATCTAAGACCTTGTATAGCAGTTCCACAGCAAATGATGCAAGGTAATGGATAACAATGGATTGATTACGGATGGATTGAAAAAATTAAATAAAACACAAACACCATCTAAGTGTACGAGTGTAAGACCTTGAGACACAATTCAACTTGTTTTGACTTTTGGAGATTTCAAGTACATATCAAAATGCATGTGTATTAAAGAGCTAAAACTGGATTTTGCACAGTAAGTGTCCTTTAAAACTTTGTATAAAACTGATCAAATGATGTGCTTGGATAAAGTGGAAAACCCAGAATATGTTTCAATTGGCTATATAGCATCAGATGTAACTATTAAGGCAGGGTCTGTCCTCTAAGGTCTCACAATAAAGCAATACAGAAGAGCTTAATCCTTTTTTAACATAATTTGAACATTCAAATGCAGCCGAATTAAGAGTCCGTCTCAAAAGAGTTGGTCACAAACGATAAAGAATAATAAAGCACTAATTTGATTCACGAATGTAGCAGAAAACCATGTTATTCAATGTGTTGTATTTTAGCCTTAATATAAGCAGCTCTGTGCATTTTTAAACCACCCGTCTCATCTCATAAAATAATCAAAGTTTATAAGGATTTCCATATTTTTCTTACATACTATTACAGTTATGATTCTTGTTATTTTTATTTTTTTTTTAAGACAAATGACATCATTCAAATGGATGAAACCTAAGAAGTAAAATGTTTTATGTGTTTACCAAATATTTTCTACCTTTTGATATTTTAGGTTACTTCCGAGGACATTATGTTCTCTGTATAGCCTGCTACACCGTAATTCTTAGCTCTTCTAACTTGTGGTCCAAATAAGACCCCAATCTCTAATGCACAACAATGTGTTTTTTTTTTTTTTTTTATTGAGCTATTTAAGTACCTTTAAAGTGATCATTAAACGTTCAACCCCATCCCTTGTGTTAGAAGAGGTATATAGTAGTATAGTAATTTGCAACCTGAACCTGTATTATTAAATCAGATGTGAGGTATGGTAAGCAATTTAACCATATAACACACTCTCAAAACTAGATAACCATAATTCCTCTAAGAACATAGCTTTACAAATTAAAGCATGCTCACCTGTTCATAGCCATCAATGCAATATTTAAAAGTTTAAAAGGAAGATGTTAGACAACTTTCATAGGTTTATTTTAGATATTGAACCTATATCGGACATTGTTAGGATCTCATTCAAACATGAAATTCTATAACCAATTGGAGACTCCCATAGTAAACATTATATTTCAAATGACCACAAGTGCTGAAAGTTTATTACAAATAAATTAGAATTTTGAATATCTACTATTTTGAAGAAAGAGACACAATAGACTAAATAGTATGTTTTGAGTCATATGAACGGATAGCTGATACTTTTATGTGTGGAAATTAATCTAGCTGGAAAAGTTCTACATGTTCCATTCTCGGTGTGTGTTTCAACCAGAAGGGCTATTGTGTGTGCCACATTCTACAATCATTACCATCATTTCCATAGGTTAGAACTTTATTGATCTCGCAATGGAAACATTTACTTGTGATATTGGCTCTTATAGACAACAGAAGGTGAACAAAGGAGGAAAAGGTGCATGAAGTATATACAGTGCATCCAGATGTATACAGTATATATGGTAAAAACAAATTATATCTTATGTGCAGTTAGGTGGTTGCAGGTAAAGTGTGTTTTCTGGTTTGTTAAATAGTATAAGGTATAAATAAGTTCCAATGTAATTATCCACTCCTCTATAAACAAGCACCTGATTGATTAAATAATTCAGAAGGATGTGCAGATTAGGTTAACTGATTTTGTCAGGATGGCACGCGAAAAGCCACAACAGTATTTCTGGATCTCTATTTAAATATGTTGTTAGGGTGGATCCATGGTCTGATTACATTAATTGATAGAGATTGTTTTGAATCCTTTTCAAGGATTGGGTTAATCAGCTAATAATTATTAAATCATTTCCATATCCACATATCAATAACCAAGGATTTAATGTTTTCTTTTGAGACCCTGCATAGCAAACTTTAGTTCAAAATATGGTAACTACTTTTTAAACAAAGAATGTGATTGTGGTATCTTTTTAGGATGAATGATAGACATTTAAACAAGAAAATAAGAAATATTAAAACAGAAGAAAAATACTGCAACTGATCATGCTTTGATCTTTACTCCCTTAAATTTGTGCATAAAAAACATTAAGCAAGTAAAACTGTCTGTTTCAAGGCCCAAGCAGATTTGAACGCTCCCTAGTCCTCAACCTATTCAAGGCTCTGCAGATAATTACAGGCTAATGGATAAAGAAATAATATTTATGCTGTTTCTTGCAACTGTAGTTAAATCAATGCATAAAGAAACTTCCTGCATTCATTGCTTTTCTAATAGCAGTCAGCTTATCTAGATTTACATTAATTTATGATTTAAGAGAAGTTTCCTACTCCATGTAATATATACATTAACAGCTTATATAGTTGGAATTAACATGATTTCAAAAGCCAGGCTCTATCCCTTTAACAAGATGAAATTGTATCTTAAAAGATTTTATGTTAATATTACTTTCCATACCTTATGGTCCTTACTCCGCCTACTATTGCATCAGTTGGCCAATCAGCTTCCTCCCTGCTCTAAGGCGTGGTGACGTAGGGAGGCGTGTGTGACATTCGCTGCTGTAAGCTAGGAGCCGGATAAAAAAAATGAAGTGAGGCAGGAAATAGATTATTTTTTTTCTTTTTAGAAACTAGTTTGTATTTTTATTTGGACGTTTTTGTATATCCCAGCGTTATAAGAGACAGTTTAGACTGAAGGAGAAAACTTCTACCGTCGGCTTCGTTTAATTTTAGGCTAACGCTTTTTTTTATTAACTTGTACAGTAAATGTTCGGAGTTTGGCGCTAAGCTCATTTTCTGGATGTTTCTAACATGTTGACACATAGTCGGTAAACTTATTTTTGTGTGTGTGTGTGTGTTTTATAGTTTTCCTGTGTTGCAGCTTAAGCTGAGTTTGCAAACTGCTTTTTTTGCTTGCAGGGGTGAATTTTTTTTACCTCCTTCTGCATTTCTCTTACTTTCTTATGCCGACCTTTTGGGGCAGGTGTGCTGAAAGTAGGCCAGGTGTGCTGTGGTACAGATAGGGTTCACTGTAGTGTGCTACCGGTCCGACAGCAGACTTCAGGGATTTGTAAGAGAGGTGTCACCATGCTGCTCTCTCTGGTTGTGCACACATACTCTCTGCGGTACTGGTTTCCTGCCACCTTCATGCTGGGTACAGCCCCAGCATATGTGCTCTCATGGGGGGTCTGGCGTTTACTTTCCACTGTCCTACCAGCAAGTCTTTACCATAAAATAGACGACCGACTGTACTGCATCTACCAGAGCATGGTCCTGTTCTTCTTTGAAAACTACACAGGGGTCGAGGTGAGTAAACTGATGGTTTGGATCAGACTGAACTGATGCTCTGCTCTGAAGGCCTGTTTCTCCACATGCAAAATGTTCCTTTTTTTTTCTAAACGTCTGGAAATGTATTTGGATAAACCTAGCTAAAGCCAGTCAGTCCTGTTTTTGAAAAGTACTTCTGATGTACCAGTTGCATGGGAAGAAAATCTGCATTTTTCTCTGGTTCCTTGTTGCCACACCTTGCTCAGAGGGTGTATTTGTACTTAGGGTGTAGAAAAATCATGATAAAGATGCTGCCAAAAACCTCTTGTGCATGTTGTGATAGTGGAAGGGTTAAAAAGAAAGGCAAAGGTTAATTTGATGAGATTAGATTATTAATTATAAATTTGTAGAGAGATTACGGTAGATATCAGAACAGGATTAAAGCCAAACATTGATTGGATTTGTTATATAGTGCTGGTCACATTAATGAACACCCCTGCTAAAAGTATGCAAAAAAAAATAATTTAAAAAGTCCAACCTTTAATTCCAACAAAAAAAAAAAAGAAATTATTGTTAAGAAGAAAAAAAATTAAGAATCTCTGCAGGAATAATTATTGCTGCCACTAATTTCTTTATTTATTTATAGCTAAAGTAACTTCTAATCAATATGAATCCTTCCATATTTTTCTTAACTTAATATATGTTTCTCACAGGTGCTTCTCAAAATAATCTGCACAAAAACTGTTACCCTGCAGTGAAAGTTTTGATTTCCTGCTCTTTTGCTTTCAGATTGTTATATATGGCGATATACCAAAGAATAAAGAGAACGTTGTCTACCTTTCAAATCACCAATGTACAGGTAGTGCTTTTGTATATATACAGCTTCAAAATATAAATGCATTGTAATGTCCCTTTAAAGTGTGTATCTTCTTTTTTATTTTAGCTGACTGGATAATTGCTGACATGCTGGCCATCAGACAAAGCGCCATCGGTCACATCCGATACGTCCTAAAAGACGGGCTAAAGTGGCTCCCACTGTATGGATGGTATTTCTCCCAGGTGATGAAGCGATTAAGTCCTCCACAAACAATAATCGGAATCGGAAATCTCCATTATACCTTCTATTCAATTTAAAGAGACAATTAAATCACATTATATGTACAGATTGGTTAAGTTTTCTGTTTAATGAATTGTTTTTTTCTATCTTAGCATGGAGGAGTCTTTGTGAAAAGAAGTGCAAAGTTTAATGAAAGAGCCATGAAGAAGAAGCTCCTCACTCAGACTCGATGTGGAGCACCAGTAAGTATACAGAGATCACAGCTAATGTTTTGTCTCTACCTCCGTCACAGCCTTTCCAATCGATTGTCTGTTCGATTTCAACATATTCTACTTATTATATTATTGTTTTGATAATCAGCTGAACCCTAAAGCAATTAGAAAAATGAATAGAGAGCATGAGAAGATGCATGAAAACTGGAGTTAAGAAATGAAGCCAAACATGGAGATGAAAGAGTATGATGTGTGAAAATACTTGTAGAGATTTTAGAAACTTTTTATTTCAACCACTTGTATTTTTCTGTCATAATGCTCAAGATAAAAATGGTATTGAGATTTTAATAGATCTGATCAGGATTTAAAGTAAAAAACTGAACATACTATGAGTAGTAAAATTTGAGAAACAGATCATTGCATTTATTTCTCTGTATCTTTTTGACTTCATGTGAAATCATTAAATAAGCTATATGAATATGTTGCTTGGTTTCTGTGAAACCTTTTTGAAATATTCAAATAGCTGTTTAGAAGCCATTTTTTGAAAACCTCCTATGTATGTATGTATGTGTGTATATATATACATACATACATACATACATTCATACATTCATACATTCATACATTCATACATTCATACATTCATACATACATACATTCATACATACATACATACATACATTCATACATACATTCATACATACATACATACATACATACATACATACATACATACATACATTCATACATTCATTTTTAATGTTAAGTTTCACAGAACACAGTTTGATCCGAAAGTAGTGGAGATTTAGTAGGAGGGTTTGCTGATAATCACATTTTTTGGATTCTGACCTGGTGGGAGCAGGGGATTATTGTGTGTGTGTGTTTGTCGTTGTGCAGCCTAAATGTACTAGCATTGTAGGGACCTTTTTATATAACCACAGTTGCAGTTCGGATAGCTTGTCTTTAAAGGAAGTGTGAAAAATAAATTTCCTGTCAGATAAAATCAAGCAGTGGTTCCCATCTCTGCTCTGCATGGTCAAGGTGTCAGGGAAGCAATCATCTAAATCAGATTTGATAGAACAGAGACATGTCTAAAACATCCAGGACAGAGGTCTTTGACTAGCAAGTTTAGAAACCAGTGCTCTAATGTCCTAAAAAAGTCCTACACCACCAACCACTGACTGTTTAAGCCATGCTCTTGATCTGAAATACAGGCTTACTTTTACACCAGGTGTGCAGCCAGCATGCATCATTTGCCGAACATTGCCACTTTGGTGTTGACTGATAATAGATTATTATAATATAGATTAATAATATTCAGATAAAAAATGGTGTAACAGTTAGTTTTAGTTCTATTGCAGGCATGTTTTTTTTTTAGAAATAACATTGCAGCTTTTCAAAGGCCTCGAAAGTTGTTAAAAAAGGGAACTGCTGCTTTTGTGCTTAATACATGAAACCCTTAAGAGCCAGACTGGTACAATGTAAGCTGTGCTGAGAAGCTCAGCACTGAAAGTATTTAAAACCTGCCTGTTTTCACAATGGAAGAAATCTGCAAGCGGTGACGTTTGCAAATAATTCCTATAACAACTGGCGATATTGTGTTCACCTGTGATTAAATATTCAGTTTAGTCTTATTTAAAGTCCTGAAAAGCTGATCTGATACAAAGGATTTAATATCTGTTCCCTCTAACAAATCCAGGAAATTTCTGAAACCTCCTACTTACTCAGTGCGATAACATCTCCCTTTGAGTTTCTTTATTTTTATTTTTTCTGCCCACAGATGTACCTCGTAATTTTTCCCGAAGGAACCCGGTACAACCCAGAGCTGAAGAATGTTATCACTGACAGTCAGAAGTTTGCTGAGAGAGAAGGTAGGAACCAGGATTCAGCAGCCTTCCACTGGCGCTCTGCAGGCTGCATACTGATTCAGTGCAACACACTAACATCTGTAAAACAGCTGAGTTAGTTCTGTTTTACAACTTGTGGTCACCTTGCAGGCAGCGGCTGTACCCATGAGTGGCACCTGCATACAAATTTAGAAAACACTGGGTCCTGAAATTACAATTACTCACAAAACTACAATCATAACATGAAAACGTTAAAAAATATATATATTTATACTGACAAATCAAGGCTTGGACCTAGTAAGTTAAAACAAACATTTACATACATGTTATAACAAATATTGTACTTTTCTGACATTAACTCATTATTTTTTTTTTTTAGGTCAGACAGGATTACCAAAATTTAAACCACACACTCAGTCAGTCTGTCACTACATGGTTAGTTAGTCCTCGGCCAATGTGGTGCCACCCTCTGCCTGTTAATACCTTCCTCACAGCAGATAAACTGAGCACATGCCATCCCTCTCAAGCGATTTATTTGGATTAAAGGGGGAAGGTGATATTTAGAACTATGGCCCAGAGATAGGCTTAATCTCTGCAAAATCGCCAAACAACATAATGCCAGGCTGCCCCTTAGCATCGGAGGAGTCATGCTCCATGAGAAAATGTTCATTTCAGCTGCTCTTGTGGATTGAAAAAAAAAGGATATATAAGCTTTAATGTTATGGTTTACATTTTCTGTTGAACATGTATAAAAACGTTTTATTTCTGTGCATTTGTTGGTCTTACTGTCGTGTCTTTAGTAATTGATTGTATCTGTTTTGCAGGTCTGGCTGTCCTGAAGCACACTCTCACACCCAGAGTGAAGGCATCCCACTTAGCTGTTGACATCATGAGTGACAGTCTGGATGCTGTGTACGACATCACTGTGGCTTATGAGGGAACGCTGGATAAAAACGGTCACAGAAGGCCTGCACCATCCATGGCAGGTACATGGAAGAACCTCCACACAAAAAATATTTGTTTTTCTTTTTAATTTAATATTTTATAAAATTGTTGGGTGTGCAGGTGGTGCAGTGGTTAGCGCGCACGACCCATGTACAGAGGCCTTAAGGCTGATTTATACTTCGAAACTAGGTCGTCTGCGTAGGTGTCGCAGTGAACAAAAAGACGTCCCCGCCCCCTCTGCAGACACTGCTGCACCTTTCCCAAATTGTAGCTGACTGCAGACAGTGACGCAGAAAGGAGGCCTGCTTGTTTTGTTTTAATGACTGCAATTGCGGAAAACAACTCGTGAAGTTTGACCACCTAGAAGAGCGAAGTGCGCGAGAACACTGGGACCCTTTTTCCACCTGGATCCCCGCTCTTTTTCGCCCTCATGTCCCTCTGTTGTCGGACAAACTTGCCCCCACTTCCTCACCTCCTCGGCTGCATCTAGCCTCACAGCGAATTCAGCATAAATCAAAAATGTCTGCGTCAAGCTCCCTGCGACACACTGCTGCGGGGACTATAATGAGCCCTTTAGTCCTCGACGTGTCTCACCCAGGTTTGAATCCCCGGTCTCTCCCCCTCTCTCATACCCTCTTTCCTATCAGCCTACCGTCGAAAAAAAAAAAAGAGCACCTGCTGCCATCAAAACTCATAAAAAAATCTTGTGAGCTTTTTTTTTTTTTTTTATTGTTTTAAATCATTTCTTGTTCTTATAAATAACATTTAATCTAACAGTTTAAGGCTAATTTTGTCATAATTATAAAAATAAGCTTTATGCAATGTTGAAATATTAGAAATAAAGTCTAAATAAGAGCAAAGCTGATTTTTAAACTTAAGCCTCACTTTACTGGCCTCTTGTTTTTAAACTCCAGTTGATTTATTTCTTTATATTTCATGCAAATGTTCATTTATCAGCTATGAGGGTTACAGGTGGACGGCTCTGTGTAACTCCACTCTCCATAAACATTATTGTGAGTGGCCTTCCTGCTAATTATCGCCGAGCAAACATCACCTTTTACAGCCATGCCTTCCTGTAAACTGCGTAACTCTGCTATTTTTCAGAGTCTCTGATTGTTGTTGTTTGTTCCTTGTTCTTTGAGAAACACTGTTGGATTTAGAATAAGAAACAACAACTACAGGAGAAAAACATCCAGTTACAGTCAGGAAAAAACGTGGATGTTTCTCGCAAACAGGACGGAGAATAAAGGAGCATTCCTCTCATCACGCACTTCCTGGTCTCTTGCTGTGAAGGTGACTTTAGTGGCTTCACAGGGAGCTGGAAGTGACCTGCGCTTGCTTTCACAACAGCTATTTTAAACTCACTGATGTTAACCTTAAACATATAGCTTTAGGAACTCGGATAGTAATTTCTGCACAGTAACTAAAATATAACTTTCTGTTAAGCTTCCAAAATTATAAAATTTAAGATTAACGATCAGTTCTCTATTGGCTTCTTGTGTAACCAAATACCCAGTTTCTTTATAATGAACAAACTGCCGGACATACATAATGGGATATGTATGTGTGTGAGTATTTGTAAGAAAAAATAAATAATTTAGATATGTTAGCTTTACTTTGAATGAAAGGAGATGTTTGTTTGTTTGTTTTTGGCAGAAATTAGATAAATAAAAAATGCTTGTTCAGATGATCTCACCCTCTCTGACAATAAACACAATAGATCAATTGATCTTGTGGCTTGACCTCTGTTTTGTTAGGTTCAGAAAACAGGATATTGTCCTCATATGACACTGAGCTGCTGTGCATTTATGATTCAAAGCTCGGTTTTTATCTCCTTCTCTGCTTTTATTGCTCTAACTTATTGCAGTGGTAAAATATTTATGATAGAATATACATAAAACTTCAGTAACTCATAGGAGGTTTTTACTACTCTTACTACTAGAGCAGGGTTCAAAATATTAGCTCTAGTTAAAAGGTAAATAACATGTTATTATGATGGCATCCTTCACACTGGAAACTACAGCCTATAATTTGTTTAGCTCTATTCATCTATTGTCCCTCGTTTTAAACTCAGACATCACCTAAACTCGCCTGTATATCAAGTCAAAGCAATAGATAAGTGTTTAAAACAATTGCTACTCTTGCATTTACTTTCCTGCAGTCTGAACACTGATACCATGGCAACGAAAACTAAACTAATTGACTGTGTCTGAACATCCAAACATCCGTTCTTACCCCTAAATCCCTCAATCATTATATAGAGCGGGGACTATATAGTGAGCTCAGATAACTTCCAGTTTGGACAGATGATCACTACTTTTCACTCCCTATTGGTCACGTAACTCTGCCTCCCTGCACCGTGCCTGCGCCATCTTTGTTATTTATCTTCGCTGTTGGGTAGTGATAGCCTATGGCGACAGCGGGGCCACTGTGACAACATATCCCATGATGCTTTGCGAGGAGAGCTCTCCGTGCAAAGTATTCCGGGATATATCTGCTCGTCTTGTGATTATGGATGATCACTTCTTTTCAAGGTGCATTGTTGGAAATTTCGAGTCCACTACTTTTTCATCCACTAGACATTTGGACACTCATTTAAAAGGGCCTAACCACTATATAGTGCACTATATAGTGGTTAGGGCGGACATTCGGGTACAGCCATAGTTTGAGAAGTGGTTCAAAGCGTGGCAACTTATGGTCTCCAGGTAGAAATTGTTTTAATTATTTTGTACTGATCTGTTTCTATGTAATTTCTATATGTTCTGGTATATCTGAAAATATAAGAAATCAACTGAACAATCAGTCTGAATAATCTCTGAGATGATTTATTCTTTCTGCTTTAGCACTTGAAATCTAACATGCATGTTTACTCATTGAAGGGAAATAAATATTATGTTTCTTAATGGATTTCATTTGAAGAGAAATCGATTGTAGATGCTCTTTTTCTTGAGTCACTGAAACCTTTAAGTTTTCTTTTTTTAAATTGTGTAAATATTATTTTGGTAGTTGGCTGATGTTTAGAATCTATTTCTCCTGCTTCTTGCTGTTTTCCTACAATTTGAGGGGAAAATTGCTTTGCCTAAACTCGAGCAGCCATCACAATCAGCTCTGCTGTCTTCTGATTTACTTGGTGTCATGTTTTTTTTTTTTTTTTTTAGGTCAATGGTTGGGCGCTCCTCCAGAGCCTCTGTATCTCACTGATTGATGCATAATCATTAAACTGGCATATGTTGTGTCTGAAGGCCATTGGAAATGGGGGCAGCTGCTGATATAGATGCTACAGTGAAGCAAGCAGTGCTCTGCTGCCTTCTTCGATCACATTTCCTCTTTCGGATTTCAGTGGCATGTTTCCTGATGTACTGCATGTTGTGGAAACAGGAACCTGAAGGCCTTGGGTTGTAGACGTTCAGCCTTGAGCCTAATTACTTACTTACATTTTAATATGTGACCTTCTGAGCTAATTTGGTTTTGTTTCTTGCTTATCGACTTGGCAAGTTATTTGGCTGGAGGCCTAAGAAATGTATAAATATTGGAACAGCTTGGAAATGCTTGATAAAGATGAAACGAGTGCTGTTTTTGTAATTCAAACTTTTAAACAACTTTCTCTCTACCTTTTTCCTGCCATGTTACTCCACTTTTACTCCACTCATCCTGAAGCTTATTTCAGCTTTGCTTCCCAGCAGCTCTACTCCATCACTGTCACCTGAAGCTGGTGTTAAGGACTCGCTGTACGTGCCTCTTTGCTGAAAGGCACTTCCTGTTTTTGTTTAGCCTCTTATTTTTTGTTTGGCAGAATTCCTTTGCAAGGAGTGTCCCCGCATCCACATACATTTCGACCGTGTGGACATCAAGGGAATCCCCTTGGAGCCTGGGCTTTTCCGCAGGTGGATGCACAACCGCTTTGAAATTAAGGATCGGTAAGTATGTTTCAAATGTCCCATGCAGAATAATCTTGTTAAGTAATCAAATCTAACTGTAAGTAATAAAAGAACAGCTAAGAATGAGCTATATTCTTGTTTTAAAAGTCTAATTTTAAGTCTTTAAAAGTCTACAGTTTAACACATAATATGACAAAGTTGTTAATTTGAAGAAAATAAAATATATAAACACAAATCTGAATAGTGTGGCAGGTTCTGATAAAGGATCCATGATTAGTGGTAATAATTGACTTTTTGAGAAATATTTATTTTCTATGGAAATACAATTCTAAGTTTAAAATTGTCCAGATCAGAATTGTTTTTATTAATTTTGATGAAATTATTTTGTTGACGCTCCTTTTTTTCTTAACAATAACAAAAACTGACGTGCAAAACATATATCTTTGATAACTAAAACATGACTAGTCATGGGTTTGAGTTTACGTCGAGACTAAATAAAAATTGGCGGGTGGTCGCTCAGACGTTTAAAATGCATCATTGTGCTGTAATCTGCTAAGCAGTATCAGCCATGCTGCTGCGTCCTGTTTGAGAACATTCAGCATGACCACAGATGGATTATGGCAGTAGCGGCAGGGGAGAAAATAACCCGGAATGGTCAGGTACAGTGCGCTGAACTCTGACAAATTCTGATCTTCAATCGGTGCTTGTGCAGAAATGCATCTTTGCACGCACATAGCTCACATAGCTAACTGATGGTTTTCTCTCAGTAGTATGGCTCTTGATGCTCTCGCTACTTAATAAACTATATGTGGCTGATCATCCTCTGTCAAACGTAAAAAATCCTTTAGTCTAACTATTAAGACTATTTCTTCCAGCTCACAAGAGGTGATACTAAACATTCTTTAATTTCTACCAAAAGGAATCCCTAAATGACATCCAAACCAAATATTTCATTGCATACTGTTTATTTTTGGATAAAGACAAAACTAAAAGGTACATAGATCTTTGCATATTTCTCTCTCTTGAGTTTCCTTTAGATATTCCATTATTTTAGTTATCATATTCATTCATCTTTTGTCTGGATTGTTGGGGCATTACAAGGCAATTATGTCGCGTTCTTTTTTTTTTATATATCAAAACCCTGGGGATTTAAATCTACTTTGACCCTGAGCAGCAATAACCAAGGGAACAAGGGGCAGATTGAAGAAATAAACCCAAAATTGGCAAAGCAAAAAGAAGAAGCTTTTTTGGAGCAATGAAGATTGTATTGATCTGTGTGTAATGCCTAATTCATAGTAGATCAGGAAGTGTTTGCTTTTGAAGGGAAACCTTGTATGTCTAAAACCATTCCTTTATTGTACATTTTATTAGTCTGTCTGCTATATAAACCAATATGAGGTGTTGAACTAGAGCTGCTTTTTTCACAGCTGTTGTGAGACACTTTTTTTTATAAAGTAGAGCATTAATTCATAAAAAGTTTATATGAATTCTTTAAATCAAGGTTTGCTGCCCAACAGCAATGATGAACTGCATGGCAGCATTCTATACCCAGCAACTGTAGTATTTAGGCAAGAGCTGTCAGTCTGGTAACAACACTGGTGCAGATGTGAGTCCACTATACACTTTAGGGCAACATTCTTCTAAGGTCCTAAACAGTCTTTTTGCCCATATGTGGTACATATCTGACTTTTTCATGGCAGTCTGAATGGCCTAATGAAGATCTCACAAAGAAGAAATCCTCATAAAGTGAGGAACATTATGAACAGCAGTGAGCTTGTCCTGTTGGGAAGATTGTAAACAACAACAGTGTTTTCAGTAAGAGGTCTTTTTACATTCTGTGCAAGAGAGACTCATAAAGAAGATCCTTCAAGCCTACAGCTATCAACACGCACAACAACCTGTTGAAAAACTGCCCTTGCATTATTACATTTAAATTCCCCTTTGGATTAATAAAGTATGTTTGAATTTCATGTGAATTCCCCATGCAGAAAAAAATCAGATTTGAGCCACTTCCATATGAGGAAGTACTAAATTAGATAAATACCCAATAGCGTCTGCTTGTCTCATTTTATCATTGCCAGGACTCCCGCTAATCTTCCACACAGACTTCTGCAGCTGCAGTATCACTGATTGCTTTACAAACAGCCCTTGTTAATAGTTATGCTTTGATGATCCTGCCAGCTCCCATTGCTCAATATTCTAATAATTACACACAGACATCGGCATCCATTGTTACGTATTTTGTTTGTTTAGCATATAACACTTCTAGTGACATTCACATCCATTATTCCTTCCATAAACATTACATTGCTATGTGAAGTCTTTATTATTGTTCTTCATATGTGGGTTACTTTGATGTCCTGAATCGTTCAGACTCAAATCTGATAGCAGTCACATATTTAGTAGTATGAACGACCATGCCAAAAAAGATTGGACACGAGTAAACATTTAGAACTGAACATAGAGAGCTACATCGTTAGCATAGCCTTGGAGAAGATAATGGTGAAAATGATATTAATTTCCTGGCCTTCCTTTCATTCTACTTTAAAACATTCTAGAAACCACTAACAAACCAGCAGATTGAGAGCTAAGTGCTCTGTTAGCAAAATAACGCACAATCAGATCTCCGATATCAGATGGAGCTTGGCTATTAAGGGCTTTTTGTGTGAGGAGCATGATTTTAAATTCTATTCTGTAATAAACTGGGAGTCGATTAAGGGAAGCTAAAATAGGAGAAATATGATCTTGTTTGGATTTGATCAGATCTCCAGCTGCAGTGACCCCTCCACAAGTCCTGTACTTTCCAGTAGTAGACAGCCGCAGATCAGCAAATAACAGCAACAAGTTTGTATTTTATTTAAAATGTCAGGAAGGAGATGAGGGGGTCCTCCACAGGTCACTAGTCTGTTGTTAATTTTAAGATTTCTTGTATTGATGAAAATAATCTGTGGAATAATGTTTATGAAACAAACCAGACAGCTTGTTTTTTTATTATTTAAAGGAAACTATAGAATGCATCATGTTGTCAACAGGTCATTAAATATATTGACTTATTGGAAGGCTGTGTTATTGTATAAGAGTACGTTATATTCTCCTATTTTTTGCTGTTTGCATTTAGCAGTATCTGGTTGGTTTTCCTGTGCTTTGTTTAAAAGATTTTATAAGTTTAAGATTTTATGGGTTGCTTAAGATATGTTTTTTTTCCCACATCTTTTTTCTGTCTTTTCAATGTTGTTTACTCAAGTACATAAATGTAACGGATGGGGAAAAACAATTTTCTTTTTTTTAAATAATTTTCTAATAAGGAAAAAAAGTACGAAGCAGCTCTGTTTACAACTTCAGATTTTTTAACCATAGTAAAATTAATAACAAAAAGAAATATGTTGAGCTGGTAATTAACTCAACATACACCTGATGTATGTTTGTGCTGTATGTGTCTGTTCTGCACACTTTCTTTCATTCTGCAGTTTTCCATTCCTCCTTGCACTTCTCTGACAGCCTTCCTCTTCTTTTTTTTTCTCTAAAGGTTGCTGACAGATTTCTACGAGTCAGAGGATCCAAACAAAAAGTGCAGATTCCCAGGCGAGGGCAGAATCTCTCCGCTGAAACTCTCAAAGTCCCTCCCCTCGGCGATGATTTTAGGAGGGCTGACGCTGCCAATGCTGCTGACGGAGAATGGCAGGAAGCTTTATGTGAGAACCTGGGTTTATGGGACACTTCTGGGCTGGCTCTGGGTGAACATTTCTCCCTAACGGTTCCAGGGTCTGACTGCCATGGAGAGACACGAGGAAGGTTCGCAAATCCCCTTTCCTGTGCTGCAGAAACAGAGTCTGTTTCAGAGGCAGAGCAGTACCTGATACGATACAAGAGTATTGATTGTCCAGCTGTTGAGCGGAGACACTGAGAAATACTTGAAGCTTTGTGTAAAAATTATTAATATAGCAGATTCAGTGAAACATGACACAAAAAATATCCTGATACAACTAGATTTTGCCAAATTAGCATTCTTGCATGCAGTTTATTCATTTGGACATTAGCAATTTATGAAGCTCCTGTATTTTTTTTAAAAAACAAAGTGAGCTGGTTACCTTAAAAAAAAAAGTAATAATTTAAGTGCACTGACTAATCAGTGTCAGATATAATACTTTTACGCCAAGCCCTGTTTGTGGAGGAATATGCACTTTTGTGTTTTTTACACTGGCAGAACAGAACAAACAGCACACAGCTCCACCTGGAGGGGTACATGAAAACCACACCAGCTGCATTTTCTTTCTTTTTGTAACCATACTTAAATATCCACACCGAACCCTTTTCTTTCTCTCAAGACTGTGAATGTAGTGCTAAAACCATTCATTCATGAAGACGGGAAGAAAACAGGAATGTAAACTGCTGGATTTTTCCGTGCACACTTCTTGGTTACAGACCCCCCCATGGAGGAAAGTGCACAGATGATGCAAAAATGTGTTCTACCAGTGTAAGATCAAACTCAAACCTTTAAGTGTCAGCCGTTGCCAAAAGCTGGTGTGTTTGCCATAATATTGTATGGAGAGTGTCTCTGTGTGTTTTTATGTTTTATATTTAGCTCGTAAATCACAGCTTTAGGTTTGCTCCTGACTTTTCTTTTATTACAGTTAATTATCCAGTTTCATTACTTTGATACATTTATCACGTAATAAATCATCTTACAGTTTATATGAAAGTATCTACCTAACAAATGCTGGTAAAGCCATGTTAACAGTATATACTGCAGGTTCCTGTGCACTCAAAGCCATTTGTGTTATCACATTATTGTATTAAGAAATGCACTATTTGTCCATCGTTGTTTACTATAAAGATACCATTGCATTTTCCACTGGTCACTTTACTTGTAAGCAGTCTCATCATGCTCTGTTAGTCGTCTGTGTTTTCATCATCTCAAAAGTAAGGTAATTGCCTCATTGATACATGCCGCTCCGATACCTCACTTGAAAACTCCTTCCTTTTAAAAAAAAAAAAAATCCTTGTCAGCCATTTTATACTCATTTTTATCCTGACTAGAGCGGACTGGTAGCCTGGTCAGGAAACTGCAGACGGTATTTAAATGCCATCAGTCTTTTGGAAACGTGTGCCTTCTCTTTGGGGGCCACAGTGGCTCCTTTCCACCAGGGGACTGTTGGAGCTGCCTCTTACTGCGGCACATTGTCTACAGTTCATAGTGGCTTTTTTTTTTTTTTTTTTTTGCTCTAAAATGCTTTGATTTACATTTTGACGACTATTAATAAACAATAAAACATTTGAAGTGTTCTGGGATGTGGAACTTAAAGGTGAGAGGGAAATAAAGAGTTGTTTTTTTTTTCCTTGGTAGTCATGTTTTCTGTCTGTTTAAATAAATGAATGTCTGCATTGGTTACACTAGATTGTACCTGCCAAAATTCTGGGAAAATAAAAACTTCTGTCACTGGACTGAAAAAGGGTGAATAAAAAAAACTTCTGGGGTCCAAAAGGCAACATAGTCTTAAGCTGTTACTTTGAAGCTCCTTCTGATTAATTTTCCTCATTTTTATATATTTATAAAGAAAGAAAAAAACAACCTCTTATTCCAAAAGGCATATTTGGCACCAAACTCTACATGGTGGCAGAAAAGTTCTAGTGGCAACATCACTGTGGGCTTATTTTCCCTCGGATGAATCAGACTTTTTTTTAAAGTGATGCACTTATAAAGAGCCAAAAAAAAACTATCATCTATTTTTGGCATAGAGCAAAACAAAACACGGGGATATTACATCGTTTAATAAACAGGGAGCTAAGGAGCCACTTGCATGTAGCAGATGGCTGATCTAGCAAATGAAATCTGATCTTATCTCAGTACATCTGAAGCTAAATGTGTAAGGCAATGCAATTTCATAGCACATTTCAATACATGGACAATTCAAAGTGCTTTACATGAATTACATAAGATATAAGGAAAAATTAACAGTTGGACCACAACTTTAAACTAATAATACCTCAGTTAACAGTTTAACTTCAACAGTTAAAGGTAGTTCCAAAAAAATGGGTTTTTAACTTTGGCTTTAAAGAACTAAGGCTTTCAGCACTTTTCCAGTCTTCTGGGAGTTTGTTCCAGATCAGTGGAGCATATAGGAACTAAATGCTACATTGTGATGTAAAGCTGTGTGTCGTCTGCATAGTTTTGGTAACTTACTTTGTTGTTTTACTATAATCTGAGCTAAGGAGAGCATGTAGATGTTGAATGGGAGGGGCCCCATGATGGAGCCTTGGGGAACTCCGCATGGGATTTTTCTGGTCTCTGTTTTAAAGTTCCCTACTGACACATAAAAGTCCCAATCCTTCAGGTAGGTTTTAAACCAGTCCAATATCAGAAAGGTCGACCCAGATTTTTAAAGTCTCTAATAAAATCAAGTGATCGATAGTATCAAACGCTGCACTGAGGTCCAATAATACCAGCGCCATGGTTCTTCCAGAGTCTGACTTTACATGAACGTCATTAAACACCTTAAGCAGGGCAGTCTCTGTATTGTGGTTGGCATGGAAACCTGACTGGAAGACATTGATGCAGCTGGTCATCGTTATGAAGCATTTAACTGTTAAAATACAACTTTTTAAATAATCTTACTGATGAAGGGGAGGCTTGAGATGGCTCAGTAGCTCTGGTGGACCAATTTGTCCAACCTCTCTTTTTCAACAATGGTTTGATAATTGCTGTTTTTAAGGCTTGAGGGGGAACACCCGACATAAGGTACAGTAAGTGTTTATGATTTCAATCAAATCTGACTCTGAAAAAGGCAAAACCTGTGGGTAAACCACCAAGACAGCAGGAAGAGGAGCTTAGATGCTGAACACTTTTTTCAAAACTTTTCTAGTTTCTTGGGCAGAATTAGGACATTTTCACTGCAGACAGCATTGCTACTGGATTTGTCGTTGATGTGCAAACTGCTTTTCTAATACCTTGTATTTGTTCAGAAATAAAATTGCCGAGTTATTGCAGGCCTTTTTAGTGTGGAGTTCATCGTCCACCGTGATAGGAAGGTTTTATTTACCTGTCGAATGTGGCAAATAAGGGGCGAGCATTGTCGATGTTTTTGTTGATATTCTCAGAGAAGAAAGGTTCTCTTGCATCTTATTCTTTTAAATCTTTTAGTGCATTTTTAAATCATTCTTTAAATAATCCTTAAAAAACAATCAGTCATAGTTTTTGTGTCAGGAAATATGCAAAATTTATGTAGTATTATGTCTTCACTAAAGGTGTCCGGACAAGTTTTTTAGAACCACCCATGTCTGTTATGGGTTTTTTTAATGGTGTTGGACAGGAGTCTGGATCTGCCTGATTTGTATTTGTCTTAAAACATTTTCACACAAACATGCTGAAAAAATGTTTTATCAAACAAATGTGATAATCATATGAGAAATACTGTAAGTAGTTAGGACATATTTAAAATGTCTGCAACTATACACTCTGCCAGTAAATGGTTTAATTGGGAGAAGAATCTAGGAGAAATTAATGCTTTTCTGAGACTCAAGTGTTTCAGTGCATTATGAGACCTCATCTCACCCATCACTAGAGGTTGGTCAAAGCTCCTATACCTTAGACCACATATGTCAAAGTCAAGGTCCGCCGGATTTTCTTTGCATGTTTGGATTCGTTTGGTCTTTGCTTTTCTCCCTTTAACAATCCAACCTGGGCTGAAGTCGGTTGTCTGAGGAGGCGGAGTGCACTAACTGCCTGGATGGAGGGAGGGGCAGAGCTGATCCATCCAGGCTCCATCCTGTAGTCTTTTTGATTTTTCGGTCCTTTTTGGTATTGCTCTGCTCTTCTTTTTTTTTAAACAACCTCTGGCTGAATTCTGGGTCCGTTGCTGTCATTCGGTACAACATTTTTAAAGTTTTTTGTACAAAACATGATTTTTCTTTGAAGGAAGTATTGTTTGGTCAGTATGCCATCGATTTTTGTATTTTATATTATTTATTAATATTTTTCAGTTGGAAAAATGCAGATAAGAGCCATCAGAGAAAATACAACAGATTTTTTTTTTTTATTATTATACTATTTGAAAGCAGTGATCAGTAGGATCATAGAGCAGCACAGTAATGTATTTTCGGTTTATGATGCATGCACTTTCATTTATGTATTTATATTGATAAGTTTATTAATACAAGTACATTTTATTAATAATATTGATATTAATATTCTGTTTTTAAAAAAGCAATGTGTTAGGTCTTGGTTCAATAGGCTATGTTCATCTCTATATGTTTTTAATAAATATTAAACCAGTCCGGCCCTCAGCTTGCAGGAAGTTAGTTTTTTTTTTGGCCCTCGTTGTATTTGACTTTGACCCGGCCTTAGCCTAACCAGCTGAAAACAAATGACTCAGTTTGACTCAGTTTTTCTTTCCAATAGATAATCCTCTATGCCAGAGGCGTGTCTTTTTACATCTGCTGTTTCCTGTCAGTTCTTGCAGGTACTTGTCAAAAGACTGGTTTTTCTCTCTGCTGTCATCGCCTTCTTGCTCAAGAGGGGCCTGAGTCAACAACTTGATCCAATCAGCTGGGCCTCTTATTAATGGTTTTGATTGTTTTATACCAATTCCATTGTTAATACATTTGGTTAGTATAACAGCATTTATTATTTATTTGTTACACTATATTTTATTCCCACTGAATAACAGATGTTTCAACAAACTCTCGATGAAAACAACAAAAAAAAATCACACCTTTCAGGAGTTTACTCAGAGGGCTGGACCTAACGTCTGTCTGTAACATGTGAATGCCATCGTCCACTGTGGACGTGCTCTACGTTTTATTTTGGGTACCTTTTAGGACAGAAAAAACAGACTCACACAGGTCTTTCATCCATGGTAGTCCTTCCTTACAAAGATAGCTTCAAAGTTGCGATTTAAATTCTCATGTTATTTATAAATAATTATGATCAGGTTCTGGGAAATAATATTTTCCACTCAATTAAAAATCTATTCCTTTTTTCTACTCTTTCCATTCCAATTCATTTCCCATTTTAGAGACGCTTTAGCAGCCCCTGATGGGCTCCCTCTGAAAACCACAGTCCTAATTAAGCCTTTGTAATCGTTCAAATATTAATCCTAAATTGACAACACAAATGCAGTAGTTAATTATTCAAATCAGTATACAAAAAGTAAAAATAATAGACTGGTGCTCTCATCAGAATTATTTTTTGTGTTATCTGAGATAAGGTTATGTCTCAGCAGTCATTTTAGAGTATTCTATTTAAATGAAAATGAAGATCATTGGCTCAACCCTTTTGATGTGCATTATGTAGAACCATAAATGATTCATTTAGTCACCATAGAAGTATAATTTTTTGGTTTCGACACCTATCAGTTTTCGACCATCCGTCAGTGTACATTGGGCCCTGACTGACCACCCATAATAAAGTTTTTTGGCTGTGCCACTGTCTGCACTTCCTTAGAAAAAAGCTTTAAGTTCTTTTTAATATCAATGGAATTATATCCTGTTAAATACGGTATAATAAAGGGGGGGGGGTTAAGAAGTTGTTAGAATATATTCACATGGGAGGTACACCTGGTCTGGTATAGTTTGTCAGAGTGTGTGTTTTGTTTAAAAAATATATACATATACGTGTTTTTTTTTTAAGTGCAGCATCACTTTTCCTTGTATCCACTTTTTTATGTTTCATTAACACCGATTTGAACTTTTGTAAATAAAGCCTGTAGTATGTGGAAGTATGTTACATTCAAAATTTCCTGTTTTTATTGCATTGCTGTGGTTAACCATAAAAATTAGATTAGATCAACACTATTGTCCCCAAGGAAATATGTCTTAGTTACAGTCTTTGTTGCTGCGTCGCCCTGGCTGTCACATGACATTCAACAAATGAAAAACGTTTCTATGAGAGATTTATGATAATAAAAGTGAATACATAAAAAGAGCATGTCCAATTGCATTCACTTATAAAAATACTACTCTGATATAAAAACGTATGTTGTTCTCTGACTTTTAAGCCAATGATGAGTAGCCTATCTTTGGGTTAAATAAATTATCCTTTATTTGCTACATCTATTAAACAATATTTTCTATACAACCTTAGTTACTTGACTTTTTTGTATTAGATTAGCGCTTTATGTAGGTCAGGTCAAGTTTCTGATTTTCCTGAGAGTCAGTGAACACATCATGAAACAAAACTGGCATGCGCGCTCCGATAGAAAGCAACGTCAGGAAGTGAAGGCCTGTAGACAGTAATCTAATCGGTTTTCGTTGATCTTTGATTTGGACCACAGGTGAGACAGTTTCACTGCCAATTATAAGCTATTTACTGAGTGTAAAATATGTATGCTGAAAAAAAAAGTGTAAATTTTAATGCACATTTCCACGTCTTGGTCTGATTTTGTTCTTCAGTAATTGCTTAAATCACGGAGAGGTAAACGGCGACATCTAGCGCTAAATCTGTGTACTACAGAGATTAA